GGGCCTCGACCTTCGCCGGTCGGGTCTCAGTAGTCCTGGTAGTAGGTGTAGATGCCTGACGAAGCTGCGGGCACTCGGCCTTCCGATGGCCTGTCAGGTTGCAATGGAAGCAAACCATAAACCCTTAGGACAATCCCTGGCAATGTGTCCTTCCTTGCCACACTTGTAGCAACCACCAGCTCGACACGCCCCCTCATGACCCTTGCCGCACTTTCCGCAAGTGCGGCCCTTCTGACCTCCCGTCCTCAAATCAGCGGACTTGATCCGCTTGGCTGCCGGCTGAGACTGAGCCGGCCGCCGGTCCACCTGCCGAGACTCGGCCTCCTCCCTGGCTTGGGTCTCCAACTCGATCTCGCGCTTCCTGGCATTCGCCTGAAGCTTAGTGAAAGTACGATAGGTGGAGTTTGACACAAACTCCCGGATATCCCTCCTCAAAACGCCTAAGTACCGGCTCATCCGTGACTGCTCTGTAGACACCAGCTCAGGGCAGAACATCGCCCTCTCATGAAACTTCCGCGTAACCACCGCAACCGAATCAGTACCCTGTTTAAGGGTCAAGAACTCCTGAGTCAATCGTTCCCTCTCCACTGGGGGAACGTACTCATCCCTGAACATGTCAGTAAACCTCTCCCATGTCACCGCTGTAATCTCCGCCAAAGTGAAGTTCGCCGTCACGAACTTCCACCAATCCTTCGCTCCCAGACGGAGCTGGTTCAAAGCGAACCGTACCCTCAGGTGCTCCGGGCATGAGCAAGTGTAGAAGCACCCTTCAATGTCAGCGATCCACCTCATCGCAGCAATCGGATCCTGCGTCCCATCGAACTCAGGGGGTTTCGTGTTGCTGAATTCCCGGAATAGCAACGAATCGCCCCCTTGCGGCCTGGCAGCAACCACGGTTGCGGTAGCGACAACGGCTGCAGCCTCAGTCAGTGCGGCATACCGCTCCTCGAACGTCTCCATCAGAGTGGTCTTAATAGACCCAAACATCTCCGGGATCTCATCCCGGATCGCTGCAGCTACCTCCTCCTGGATCATCTGACGAATATCCTCGTCGCTCACGCTGCTCGAACTCGCTCCGTGGCGTGTGGTAACCATGATGTCTCTGAAATACAACATAAAATTATCAGAGACTCCATCAAGTACAATTGTACTCGATAACGCAACCCTACTCAGTCTCCGATACCCAGGGATTCTTACTTGGGTCTTCCAGTGACCCGGTGTCTTCGGTAGTACGGGCCCAATACTACCGACCACACCGTATCAGCATTCGCCCCAAATCTTCCTCCCCAAACCCCGAAAAGTGAGTACTCTACTTTTGATATGCACTATCTACCTGCACGCTATCAAATATCTCATATAGGCAAACTCGCTAGACTAAGGCATCACAAATCAGGCCACTCTAGTCCTATCATGAATACCTAGTCTTCTAGCATGCATAACAATTCATAATTCAGTGCATAACATAACATTGTAAGGTATTCTAGGGATCTTTACCGTTCGGGCGCTGGCTGATCGTACACACTACTTCTTTCTTGTTTACCACTTTACCATTCATAAAAGTTTATGCCTTTATTATTTTAAAAAGATTTTCCTCAAATCCTCGGTTTGAGTTCAGGTACACCCGAAGGTACACCCGAATCCCTCAAACCAAGGCTCTGATACCAATTGTAACAACGCAAATTTTCAAACAAAATTTTCATTTAAAATAACGTGATTTTATTCAACTAAATATAATTATTCCAAGTTTCATATCAAATACAATCATAAAATCCCCAAGATCTCAAAATATCAACAGTGTGTACGCGTCACGCCGGCGCCTTCCCACGGTCCTCGCTAGTACCTGAAACACATACATAACAACTTTAAGCATAAATGCTTAGTGAGTTCCCCAGTATACGACTTACACATATACGCCTTTCCAGGCCCTGACCTTCCGGTCTA